ATGGCAGAGCCTTGCTCCAAATCCCAGTGTCTCTTCTGTGATTCACCTATAGGGCCTGCCAAAGGCTCCAAACAAACAGCATCACATATGCCACTGACATCTCAAGTACCATCGGGTCTGTAGGATCACATGGTCCAAGTGGTAGAGCAGCCTACACAGCAGCCTGGACCTGTTGAGACTTCCCCTGTTCCAGTCTGCATATGAAACTAGCAGCTTTCCAAGTCACTTGGTATATTGGCAAGAATAACACACCCAAGTCAGGAATGTGCTGCCTCCAGAATCCAAATAGGCCCAATAAACATAGTGCTTCTTTCTTGGTGGTGAGAGGGGCCAAGTGAAATAACTTGTCCTTCATCTTAGAAAGAGTATCTCTGCATGCCCCACACCACTAGACTCCTAAGAATTTCACTGAGTTAGAGAATCTTTGAATTTTGGTGGATTTATTTCCTGTCCTCTGACATGCATATGTGTTACCAGTGAGTTCAAAATGATTGCTACCTCCTGCTCACTTGGTCCAATCATCATAGTGTTGTTAATATGGTGCACCAGTGTAATATTTTGTGGAAGAGACAGATGATAAAGATCCTTTCTAACTAAATTTTGACACAGGGCTGGAGAACTAATATAGTTTTGAGGTAAAACTGTGATGGTATGCTGCTGGCCTTACCAACTGAAGGCAAATTGTTTCTGCTGGTCCTCATGGACAGGGACTGAGGAAAGGCATTTGCTAATCAATAGCTGCAAACCATGCATCAGGAGATGTGTTAATTTACTCAAATAGGGACGCCACATCTGGTACAGCAGCTGCAGCTGGAGTCACTACTTGATTGAGTTTTTGATGGTCAACTGTCATTCTCCACCATCCACCTGTCTCCCAAACTGGCCAGATAGGAGAGTTAAATGGAGATGTGGTGGGGACCACCACCCCTACATCTTTCTAGTCCTTGATGGTGGCACTAATTTCTGCAGTTCCTCCAGGGATGCGGTACTGCTTTTGATTCACTGCTGTCCCTAACAGAGACAGCTCTAGAGGCTTCCGTTTAGCCTTTCTAGTCATAATAGCCTACAAACTGGCTCAAGTCTGGAAATTGAGTCACTGCCCAAGGTTCCTTTTGCCACGATCCAGTGCAGCTTCTTTCATTTGTTGGAGAATTTTTCTGCTTCTACAGATCAAACAGAAATGCAGTAGGCTTCGTATCTGTTTCATTCCTGGAAACACCATGATTGATTAGCCAGTACCAAAGATCTGTACCAGTCATATCACTATAAAATCCACCTTACGTGTGCTGACCATTCCAGGTTAGGCCATTATGAACACTGTTTTGTCTACGCCGCCCATTATGATAACTGCAGTCACCTTGCCTCTGGAGATTCAGTGCTGCTACCTCAGGGCCCAACTCATTGCATTTAATTTTTCCATCTCCCACCCTATGGTCTAACACAAGAAAAAGGGCGACAACAAAACTCTTCAAATGTGCTGCTGCCCTGCTCACCATTGTGCGTCTCACAGGATTCATGAAGGGCCTGGCTTTCTGGGCCTTCCCATTGTGGGGGTCAGGTTTCTCACGGTGTACCCACTCCAGCATTGCAGTTTCCTGAGCCTTAAAATCCCTTCATCAACATTAAGCCAAGGGGTATCAGGCATCTCCAACTCATTTTAGTTGGCCATCTTTTGATAAATGCTTCAGACAATCATTCAGATAAACTTTTGACACCTTTTTTAACTGTGTGACCTTCCATTTTAAACCTAGAATCTCCACCCAGGGGGCCCATATCAATAAACTCAGCCTGATCTAGTTTATGTTCCTTCCATCATTATCCCACACCCTTAAAATCCATTCCCACACATATTCCCCAGACTTCTGCTTGAATGACTTAGCAAACTCATTCAGCTCCTTAGTCGTGTAATGGCCCTCCTCATTGACTACACTTTCTACCTCGCCTCTAGGGACCTGCTTTGCCTTGAGTCAGGTTGTAGTTGTAGTGGCAGCTGTTGGTGGCCCTGAGGGACAGCAGTGTTGTTCTGCCTGGCATTTCCTTCAGCGAAAGTCACTGCTGGTTTATCAGACAATGTAGGATTAATTTCCTCAGTAGAAGGTTAAAAGGGCAATATTTAAGGGGTGGGGCTAAAGGTATTACTTCCTCATATGAGATAAAAGTCCTCAGCTTCAGTAGGGTCCTTCCATACATCCCCATCCCAAGTGACAGGATCCCATTCTCCACCAATTAGTGCCCTTCCTTTAACCACTGACACCACTGAGGCTGAGACTTGAATTTTCCCTGTAATTCAGCCAACTTTATAATGAGGGCTTCAGTTTGATTTTCTGCAACTTGAGCTCTGTGGCTGCTGGAGAGAAGATTCCCTTCCAGGGCACACTTAGAAACCTTGGACTGTTTATGCACATCTGGAGCCGGTCAGTTTTACCACTGAGTTCACTGCTTGTCCTTCACCATGTTCTGAAGTTGGTTATCAAGGAGCTCATTCCTGTCCATTATCAACTTATCCAGAGAGATTAAGAGTAACCAATCGCCAGGCGGTGGTGGCGCACGCCTTTAATCCCAGCACTCGGGAGGCAGAGCCAGGCGGATCTCTGTGAGTTCGAGGCCAGCCTGGGCTACCAAGTGAGTTCCAGGAAAGGCGCAAAGCTACACAGAGAAACCCTGTCTCGAAAAACCAAAAAAAAAAAAAAGAGTAACCAATCAGCAGCTTCGTGTTCCTTCTTTTCTCCCAAACTGTCAAAAGTTTCACTAATCCATTGTCACTCACTGTTGATGAATCAAGATAACCAAAGGCGTTTATCTCTGTAAGTTTAAAGTTCACACCATGGGCTTTCAGTACTCTCCGAGCTCCCAGAAGAGAGTGACTGCAGAGGCTTCAGTAGCTGAAGGTGCTGCTGCTGCTGCATCTGAAGGTGCTGGTAAATTCAAAAGACTATTCCAGGGACTTAGAATATCCATCCTCACACTTCTGCTTCTCCAGCACCACTCTGGCTCTCTAGATTCTCAGAACTTATGGAATGAATCTCTCTCTCTCTCTCTCTCTCTCTCTCTCTCTCTCTCTCTCTCTCTCTCTCTATATATATATATATATATATATATATATATATATATATATATATATATACACACACACACACACACACACACACACACACACACACATATATGTATGTGGGCATATATACATAATATATACATTATATATATGTATGTATGGGAATGTATTGGGATGATTTACAGGCTGCAGTCCAACAATGACTAGCTGTGATGGGAAGTCCAGGAATCTAGTAGTTGCTCATTCCCACGAGGCTGGATGGCTCAGCTGGTCTTGTGTACATGCTGGAATCCTGAAGAAGCAGGCTCCAGTGCCCATGAAGGAATGGATGTGTAGGCAAGCTGGTGAAGAACAATCCATCCCTTCCTTCTTCCATTGTCCTTACATAGGCTTCCAGCAGAAGGTGTAGCCCAGATTAAAGGTGTATTTTACCCCCTAAAGATCTGGATCAAAGGCGTGTGTCATCCTGCCTCAAGATCCAGATCAAAGGCCTGTGCCTTCTTGCCTCAAGATCTGGACCCCAAGTGTGCCCTCCAATTCTGGATTATATATATAGTTTGTTACAGATACAGTCAAGGTGACAACCAGAGTGGCCATCACAAAGCTGCATTCTAAAACATGAGCTGAGCATGGTAACATATATGTAATCCCAGTACTCAGGAGACTGAGGCAGGAGGATTGCAAGTTCCAGGCCAGCCTGGGCTACATATAATAAGACCCTGTCTCAATAAGACAACAACAACAAACAAATACATGTTAAAGTATTCTTTTTTGGTATCAGCAAAAAAGTTGTTAAATTCTTTTGTCTGGTGTGGATAATTTCATCCTAATTAGTCAAATTTTTTTTAGTGTATTTTAAAAAATATGCATGGTGATTTTTACCTAAAAAGACATACAGAGAAGAAATCCTGAGGTTTCTCCTTCTGTATAAATGGCTTTGTAAATAACCTTACAAAAAAAGATGTGTTTGTAAAAAGAAAAGTATTTTTCCAGAAGTATTAACTGCTAACTAATATTAATGAGTAACTAAACATCTAGAAAAAAATCCATACTTGAACTCTAGATAAGTAAATTCAGGGTTAAGATTTTCCCTCTTCTCTGGTAACCTCAGTGACTGGGTCGTGTGTCTGTCTGTCTGCCAGCGAGGATTCCATGGACTTGCTCCAATGTGAGATTTTTTTCGGATAACCAAACCTTTTGTGGATTTCGTTTTTTTTTTTTTTGGTTTTTTTTTGGTTTTTTTTTTTTTGAGACAGGGTTTCTCTGTGTAGCTTTGTGCCTTTCCTGGAACTCGCTTTGTAGACCAGGCTGGCCTCGAACTCACAGAGATCCGCCTGCCTCTGCCTCCCGAGTGCTGGGATTAAAGGCGTGCGCCACCACCGCCCGGCTGGATTTCGTGTTTTAATTTTAGGAGTGTGTGTATGTAAGCCAGAAGTCAACCTTGGTATCTTCCCTTGGACCTGGGGCTTGCAGGCTAGTTGGCCAGTGAGCCCCAGGGATCGCCTGTTTGGCCTCCCAGCACTGGGGTTACAAGCACATGCAGCCAGGCCTGGGGTGCCAGGGACTGAATTCAGGTTCCCATGCCTGCCCAGAAAGCATCTGACTGACCAAGCAGCCATCTCCCAGCTCCTGGATTTCTTTTAAAATTGAGACATTGCTCCTTAAATACTGTATCTGTATGTGGTGTGTGGAATGGTCAGGCTTTTGCTGACTCCTAATTAATGCAGCGAATTTGTTCTGCTGAGTAAGTTAAGTCTGTGCTGTGTGCTTGCACAGTTGCACTCCTGCTGCAGCGGTTAGTGCACAGCACAGGAAGGGTGCTTGGCGCTCTGCCGCTTGGCAGGACTTGTTACCCCTGCTAAACTGACAGTACCGTCGGGGACATTTGTCACTATTGATTCCCTGTTGGCTACATTTGAACCATCGGTTGGATGTTTTCTTGTAGATTGCCGGCATGTGCTATGACTACCAAGTGCTCCAGGTTCACCAGGTGCTCCGCATCCCTGGCAGCATGGCCCAGTTCTTCTCCTGGGCCCTGGAGCCTGTCTTCTCGTCCTCAGAGCCCACCAGCGAGGCCAGAGTTGGGATGGGAGCCACAGTGGACATCCAGAGGCAGCAGAGGGTGGAGCAGCTTGACCGGCAGCTGATGCTCTCTCAGTATGCACACGTGAGGCGACAGAGGCAGCAGCAGGTAGGACCTGCGTGACCGGCCCGCCGCCGGCCAGAAGTGTGACTGCACGTGTGGCGGCCTCTGCTTTGTATGGGCTTTTGATGTGTTTTCAGGAAATTGAGAATTTAGGTCTCTCGGGGTGAGAGGCCTTTGTCAGTGTCAGGGGTTTGTGTTGTTTTGTTTTTAAGGAAACAAAACAAATTAGAGCTGAACACTTGGTCAGAATGGACAATCTTACTCTTAGCATTATTTCTGAGAGAAACAGCAACCCAGTTAGCAAGGTAGAATACTTATCATTGTTTGTCATCTTGTCAAAGCCACAGCGTCTTCCTGTTTAAAGTGCTAGTCATGTGCCATGGATGAGGAACAAATGAAAAGCTTCATGATTTTCCTTGGCTAAAGTGAATACAAAGCTAAGAAGACTTTAAGGGAACAACCAGTGATTACATCATATAAACGCTCTGCTTTCACAGATGTGCCATTAGTAGCCAGGAGCCATTGCAGTTACCTACAAATACCACATTAGCCAAAACTCTGACACCACACTTGTCTTCTAAGGGGGACAAGGAGGAGGAGGTTGCTCTGTACCCAGCTAAACTTCTGGTATGACCTTCCTTGGACATTTCTGTGGCCCAACACATTGGCCTCTTCACTTCCTGCCTCCTCCTTTGTCTTCTGGGATGGTGAGAGATGCAGAATTCTCACCGGCCCTCTCTCTGTCACCTGCCCTCTTCCCCAGGTGTTCAGGGCTTCAGGTCTCAATGGCCTGGAGAATTTAAGTCTGACCTCTTTGCACTCCCGCTGGGAATGTGGGTTCCAGAGTTTATATTTTGGATAGGAGTATGGACAAGAAGAGAGAGAAGCCAAAGTTGTTCCTTATAGACCTATTTGACCTTGAAGTGACTTTGGAGCATACAATACAGATATATGACATGTTTGAAGATGGCTGGCACATGCTCTCACAGAGAGTTCAGAGATGGGGGTGGAAATTACAGACGGACTCGACTCTGTGTACCTGAGGACAAAGAGCAAGGAGCTACATGAGAAGGATTCCATCCTCAGTCAACACAGGCTGAAGTGAAGCCTTGTGATTGACAAGTGGCAGCTGATTGATAGGAGGCGGAGAAGAATGAGAGGATGGGGTGTGGTGGGATGGCAGCAGAGAGCCCAGCAGGGCCTGTCGGTAGCTTCCTCCCCTCCTGGGTACAGGATAACCCTCGGAGATGAGAGTCTTTATGGGAAAGGGAGGAAAGTTGTAGGTTCTGTGGTGTACTTTGGGGGAATGGGTTTCTAGTGTCTGTGACCTGCCTTGGGGAAAAGAAATTCTAGTTTCTGTGACTTACTCCAGGACGGGATGATAGGAGAGGCTAGAGAGCCCTTGATTCGGAGGCTTCCAGAGGCCTTCAATTCCAAGAACCCAAGCACATCAAGGTGCCAGACTTTGGGATATCCTAACCCTCCTTTCATAAGGAAACCATTCCTTTTGGATTAGGGCCCACCTAATGACCTCACCTGACCTTAATTAACCATTACAGACCCTGTGTTTAAATATAGTCATGCTGAGGCAGTAGGCTTTCAACATACAGAGTTACGATTCCAGATTCAGTGTCCAGTGATGGCACTAAGTGGTTATTCTTTCTTGAGGCTGGTGTGTCAAGCTCATTGCCGTCTGCTGATGGCAGATTAGATAGTCCATGATGGCAGTAGCTAGCTCATCCTGGGCCCATGGAGCCCATGTGTAACCTCCTTCCCTGTCAACATGGCTACTCTTCCTGTGCCAGTACCGAGATGGGCAGTAATAAGGTTGCTGTCTGCCTCCTGCTTGGTGCCTTTTCTTGTGATGGAGGAATTAATCTGGGGGAAAACACACACACACACACACACACACACACACACACACACACACCATACTTCCTGAGTGTTGGTATTCCTTTAGCTGTGTTTGCTTACCTTCCCTCAGGTTTCCTTGGCTCCTACCTTCCAATCTCCTGGCTGACCAAGTCTTTTGCTGTCCCAGTAAATGCACAGGCTGCATTTTATTTCCCACAAGCCATTTCTCTTTATGCTAAGTGGATGACTGAGGGCCTTAGCCAGCTCCTCTCACAGGAGGAGTTCCTTCTGTCTCTCAGGGATCCTCCCTGCGCTACGCCTGAGAAGAACTATGAACCCTCTCCAGAACCTCTCCACGAACCACGTTGGACCATTGCCCTCCCCTCTTGCTGGTTGTCATAGACTCACAGCTTGTGGCAGGTGTGAGCCAGGGAGAGGTTTTGGTGCAACAGAGGTGGTTAGCATGGTGTCTGGATATCTGCCTTTGCAGCTCCCTTGTGCCCTCTGGCTCTGCCCTTGCTGACCCCAGGTGTACCGTTTCTATCTGGCAGCAGGTTTCTGCTGGGCCTCCAAGGCCTGCAGACTGATAGGTCTCCACTGCATATACTGAAATCACTTTGGCTCTTAGGCACTTTGTGGTGTAGCACAGCATTTTGTTGGAATGTAGTTCTCTGCAGTTCGTATATTCCCTGCCTGGGACCCCAGGAGCCAACATTTTCTCTTACAACTGGCTTCAAATGTCTTTGTCCACCCTGGACCCTTTGACTCCCACACAATCTTCTCCAGCGAGTAAAACACCAAACCTCTTGTCCTCCCTGGGAATACATTGCCACCGTCACTGGTGAAGGCTCTGTGTGTGGCTCTGTCCACTGTTTCCAAACCCTCTACTCTCAAACATTGGTCTTCCCTCCAAGGGCCTGAAGTTCAGAGCAGCAAAGCAGCCCTAAAGTCTTGATGGGACCTTTCTGGACAGCAAAGAGCATCTGTCCTCAAGCTTTCTAGGTTTATTTTCCTAAGCTTCATTACCATAGCCTGCTGAACTTCCTCATGGGGCTGTTTGACCCTTTGTCTTTATGCAGGGCAGATCAGTGCACAGAGTAATCTTCTGCCTGTTAAACCACCATGGAAGAGATTCCTGTGTTTGTGTGCGTGCACGAGAACTTTGTATGGCAGTTACACTGATCTGGGGGAAGGGTTTGTTTTTAATTGAATTTCCAATACATTTGTTCTTAATGCTTATCATATGCTAGGCCGAGGGCTGCCATTGATTGTGGAGATGCAGAACAACCAGCCTATAGACCTCACTGTAGAGCTTGGGGCCTGCCTCACTTACAGAATTGCATGCTTCACACATTACCAGCAAGAACACCGTGTGTTATGCCAGCCATTTGCCCCTGGCACCAGTTCAGTCCTGATCCCAGAAACATGCCAGTCTGTTTGGAGTTCTCCCCTCACTCAGCTGTTTTCAGGGTCACTCAGCAGGTGGCCACTGAGCTAAAGCCCAAGGCTGTGCTGTTGAAGTTCCTGGACCAGTTTCTGTCTATAGGATGACCCTCCCTCTCCTCCAGATGTATTCATGCTCTTGTGCCCTGGGGGTCTCCACCGGTGTCATTGCTGTTTTGTTCATGCTTTCGTGCCCTGTGTCTCCCTAAAGACACATTCCTGCTACCCTTGCTTCTCCTCCTCCCCCGACCATTGTCAACCCAAAGGCTGCCCTGAAGACTCGTGCTTCAGCAGACACGTCTCCCTTCTCCCCAGCCTCCTGTCCAGTAGTCTAGTACTTCATCCTTCCCACCCATCTACACCTTGCCCCTGCTCTATGAAGTACCAGTGTCTCTTTTATGTAAGTTGGTTGTTCCTGCCCCCTCCACCACCTGAGTTCATGCCCATGGCCTCATTTGCCTCCTCCTCCAGCAGCCTCTGCCCTGTCGGTTGCTCCTTCAGTGGTCTCTGAAACATAAGCCTGATGCTCTCACTCCTCCTGTAATCTGTCAGCAGTTCTCCTCCCTGCCTCCTTAACCACATCTCCTTCCCACAAAGCACCACAAGCCTTACTGAGCCACTTCCAGTTCATCGGAGCTACACATTGCCTCCCGCAGCCACCCAGCTCTACCACACAGAGAAAATTGTGTTTGTTGTTGGTTTTTTTTGCCTGCCTGGTTCCCATTCACTTTGCAGTTTTCCTGGCAAATAACATGTCTCTGGGAAGCCTTTTCAGTCTCCCACTGGGGCCCCGAGTTTCTTTGCCTAAAACTTAGCCCAGCTTAGGCCAGCTCTCACTAGGGACTGGCCTACCTATCCTTGCCAGTGTGATGGGGTGCAGAGAGGAGGCTATCTGCCTTTCCAGTACATGGATAATACTGGCACTAATAGGAACTTAGCAAATATTTGGGGAACTAGGGAGTAAATGTGTGTATTGTAAATATTGACAGGGTTACTTCAAATTCCGATGCCAGCTGGATATAGCTGAGCAGTCAGGGTTGGAAAGACACACAAATGTCCTGCAAGGACAAGCTAAAACCAAATCATGACAGACAGACTAAGCCCATGTTTAGGCTGACAGAGAATAAAAAACTGGAGCAGCCAGGAAGAAAGCAGGAAGTTCAGAAACAGGGTAGCCAGGAGAGGAGCTGTTGCAGTCAGAGCAGGTGTTCACCCTGGCACAGGAGGCCTCTGGCAGGACGCTGAGAAGTGCTTCATGAGCTGGGCTTGGTGCGATACAGCCCTGCTCACGATGTGATGGTGACCTTGTGTTCCTGCAAGATGGCTCATCAGCTGTGCAGCTCTGGCAGATTTTGCATCTGGAGAACAGTGACGCATGTGATGTCTCGATAGGACTTTCCTCATCTGGAGTTGGGGACCATTGTGTGGACAGAGTCAGTATACGTGGAACCTTATATGCGTGACGCCCAGACATGTGATAATGTTCCCCATGCGCTTTGACCCCTCACGGGTCTTTCTGGACACTTCTTCAAGTAGTTACGATGCTTGTCTCATGGCAGTTGAGTTGAAAACTGGCCTTACTACTTAATGTATGGGATGTGTATGATGTGTGTCTGTCATCCATAAACCCATTCAGGGCAGCACTGAGGGCAGCGGGTCAGACTCAGGAACTGTTCTCCCAGACTCCTGTGGTGTGCCTCGTGTGTCTGTGTGGACACAGTGCTGGCTCCAGAAGGTCACAGTCACTT